CCTCATCGTCGGACTTCGGGTCGACACCGTCACCGAAGCCATCGGACGCGCCGGGACCTTCGTCAGGGAGCACACCGAGCACCTTGCCCTGCACGGCCTGCAGCTCCAGCTTGCTCTTCACGAGGGCCTCCACCGGGGGCTGCTCGTCCGAGCCCGCCTCGGCCTCGGCACCACCCTTCCCAGAGCTTTCCAGAGGCGCTCCGCCAGAGCCTGTGGCTGAACACGTCCTGGGCGGTCCCCATTCGCAGCCTCGGCCTGTACCACGGGCCCCCCATGAGCCCCTCCATGGGCTGCTCCGTGGTGGGCTCGGCCGTGGACTCCTTGATGAGCCCCTCCACGCCGTGTGAGCCTTCCTCTCCTCTGCTCTGTCCTCGGCGAAGCCCTGCACCTCCAGCACGCCCTCGCCGTCGGCGCGGCAGCGCTGCGCCCCCTCCTGCGTGCGCTGGCTCTCGCTCTGGAGGTCCAGGGGCTGCACCATCAGGGACACTGCGTCGAGGTGGTCCGCCCAGCGCTCGGTGATGTCAGCGATCACTCCAGCCACGGCCTGTACGACGGCCTCCTCCGTGAGCCCATCCAGGTGAGCAACGCAAAAAAGACGGGGTCGTCTGCGCTGACATTGGCGCGGAGGTTGCCCGCGTAAGGTCGCGCGTAAGCGCCTTCGCTTCCAGCGTGGCCTACCGCGCTGGCGGCCCGCGTAAGCCACCGTGCAAGGTCGCCGTGTCATCTCGCGTGAGACCCGTGTTTGATGGTTGCTCAGGGTGGGCTCGGCCATGGGCTCCTTCAGGCGACCCTGCACGTCGCCAGAGTCGTGGGCGACGGACCCTTCCACGAGCCCCGCCAGGGTGGCCTCGGCCGTGGCGTCCGTCACGGACTCCGTCACGGACTTTGCGGGCAGCGCCAGGTCGGCCACCGCGCCGATTCCTGGCAGTCTCTTCACGTTCGCGCTGTCCTCCGCGAGACTGCCCTGATCCCCTGCAGGCGCCCGCCTGCACGGCCCCCTGCAGCTGCAGCAGGAACCCAGCGATGATCTCCTCGTGATCCTCACCACGAAGATCACCCGGCACGCCGCACCGGACGCCGAGGTCCTCCGCGTCGCCGTCGCCGATGGAAGAAGTCCTTCACGACTGGCGCGGGCAAGCCCACCTCCATGCTCCCCGGGTCGGCCGTGCCTTCCGCCACCTCGGCCTCCATCATCGCAGAGTCCTCCTGCGCGCCTGTGGCAACCTGGGGCTTCACCGCGCCCGCGCTGACCTCCAGCAGTGCCACCTGCCCGGCCTTGGCTGCCACTCCACCACCGCGCCGCGGCGGAGCTGCGGGCGGCACCGCCAGCGCCCGGGCGCTCGCAGCACGAGGGTTAGGTCGGGCCTGTCCCCCTACAGGGGGATTTCGACGAAAAATGAAAATGACCCCAAAAAATACCCCAAAAAGGTCAAAACATACTAACAAAAATAGTCCCCAGACTATTCTTGGACTTTTTTTTTAAAGTATGTTTGAGGCATTTTCAATTTTTCGTCAAAAATCCCCCTGTAGGGGGACACGCCCGACATAACACGAGGGTGCCTCGGCTGGCCCATGGCCCGCACGCCGATGTATCAGCGCGATGTTGCGCGGCACCTCGTCTTCGAGCCGCAGGCCCGGCCCCTGCCGGGCACGGTGACTAGGCGTCGCGCCCTGCGCCCAGGGGCAAGACTGGCAGAGGTGCCAGGGTCCCTTGGGCCCAGGTGGCTTGAGAGGAGGACGAGGAGGAGGCAGGAGGAGGAGGCTGGACGAGGAGCTCGGACGAGGGGGAGGAGGCTGGACGAGGAGGAGCTTGGAGGAGGAGGAGGAGGAGGA